TCCTTCATATATTTTTAACCGTAGCAGTTTGACGAAGGTCACAGTAAACTCCAGCGATACTTTAAGGATGATAAGACTCTTCTCCGTCTATCCTTGTAAGAATGTTTTGTCATGGTGTTGCAATGACAGTTAAAATGACGTGTTGCCTGGTTGTGATAATGGTAGTTCAAAGTTTAAAATAGGTTGCTGCTGTTTCTGTGTACTGCTGATGTGTTTGGTAATGGTGTTAATTCTGCTTTGCCGTGCGTGAGTTCGTGTGTGAGTGCATTCAAGTGCGTGCTGGTGCTCACAGCTCCATGGAAATGATTGAAATGAATCAGGGCTGTTGCCTAATTGTCACAGTGCTCCTCCCGGTTGTTTTTATCCAGCTCCGTTCTTCCCTTTTAACATCTCTTCTCTCCTCCATTCCCTAAGAGCTGTTAATGCTTACATAATAGGAACTCCGTATCTACTGCTAGGAAACCTTTCAAGCTGTCGTAGCTGCTGAAACCAGAGTAATGCGATATCCTCATCAGGCTGACACTTCTGTTCTTATTATATCTTAAAAAGTAGGATTGCCCCACAATTTGGTGCTCAGACAATACAGAACAGGGTGGCAACACACTGCAGTTGTATCCAGTCTCCCGTCTCGCCCATCTACCCGCCCTACCGTCCTCTTCTCCATGCTGTTCCAGTGGATGGTTTTCAGGTGATTGTTGGTTAACTCTGCCGCGGTATCACTAACCAACAGGACAAATTTTCTCTAAAATTTCCCGGCAAAAATAAATCTCCAACAGTGCAAAACAGACACTACTGTCGCCTGTATAAAAAAATAAAAACCACAATACCGTGTCTGGAACAATTCACAAATAACCCGCATGTTGAAGAGGAAATTTTAATTATCATTATTATTATTATAATCATGGGGAGCGTTAAACCCTTAGGATTATACAGCGCCTGTGGGGGGATGGAAGGTATTCAAGCTTAATTCAGGGAATTGCAGCACAGATCCAATTCCCTGGATCAAGAGCCCCTCACCAGCGTCAAGGAACCTCCCTTGAGGGGTTGAGGAGAGGAGGAGGAAATTTTAAATGACGTTTCGACCCTTCCTGGACCATTATTAAATGACAAATGTAACTTTCTCAAGGTTAATCTGACACAAGGTACACCTTCAAATTTCACCAACTTACAGAGTAAACAGCAGATTCAATATAAAGAACTGAACAAATAAGACCTCCACCAGGACCCTCTCCCTCACTCAGTACTATCATGCCTCGTTAATCCGCCTGTAGGCACGAACTACTCTTGGTAATCCGACTAGCGTGATTACGAACGCTCCCTCTTGTTTACGAATTCTCCTTACATCCGTTTATATATTTTTTTTTTGACTGACAATGGAAGGCGGTCGTGTTAGTTCGCTCTCTGGAACTGTGCAAAGGAAAGAGCGTGCAGAGGTGCACACATACGCGCACGCATGCACACAGACACACACACACACACACACACACACACACACACACACACACACACACAGATGTGTGTTCCAGAGATGGAACACAGAAAAAAAGGGGTCACAATTGGAAGCTGAAGACTCAGATGAGTCAAAGAGATGTTAGGAAGTATTTCTTTAGTCATAGAGTTGTCAGGAACTGGAATAGTCTGGCAAGTGACGTAGTGGAGGCAGGAACCATACATAGCTTTAAGACGAGGTATGATAAAACTCATGGAGCAGGAAGAGAGGACCTAGTAGCGATCAGTGAAGAGGCGGGGCCAGGAGCTATGTCTCGACCCCTACAACCATAAATAGGTGAGAACAAATATGTGAGTACACACACACATACACACACGAAGTGTCCCTGTTTGCAGATGATGTGAAGTTGATGAGAATTCATTCGGACGAAGACCAGGCAGAACTACAAAGGGATCTGGACAAGCTGTAGACCTGGTCCAGCAATTGGCTCCTGGAGTTCAACCCCACTAAGTGCAAAGTCATGAAGATTGGGGAAGGGCAAAGAAGACCGCAGACGGAGTACAGTCTAGGGGGGCCAGAGACTACAAACTTCACTCAAGGAAAAAGATCTTGGGATGAATATAACACCGGGCACATCTGAGGCGCACATCAACCAAATAACTGCTGCAGCATATGGGCGCCTAGCAAACCTAAGAACAGCATTCCGACATCTTAATATGGAATCATTCGGGACCCTGTACACTGTGTACGTTAGGTCCATATTGGAGTGTGCGGCACCAGTTTGGAACCCACACCTAGCCAAGCACGTAAAGAAACTAGAGAAAGTGCAAAGGTTTGCAACAAGACTGGTCCCAGAGCTAAGGGACTACGAGGAGACGTTAAGGGAAATCGACCTGACGACACTGGAGGACAGGAGAGATGGGGGGACATGATAATGACATATAAAATACTGAGAGGAATTGACAAGGTGGACAAAGACAGGATGTTCCAGAGATGGGACACAGCAACAAGGGGACACAGTTGGAAGTTAAAGACACAGATGAATCACAGGGATGTTAGGAAGTATTTCTTCAGTTATAGAGTTGTCAGGAAGTGGAATAGTTTGGCAACTGATGTAGTGGAGGCAGAAACCATACATAGTTTTAAGACGAGGTATGATAAAGCTCATGGAGCAGGGAGAGAGAGGACCTAGTGGCGACCAATGAAGAGGCGGGGCCAGGAGCAGAATCTCGACCCCTGCAGCCACAATTAGGTGAGTACACTGGGTGGACAGTCTGAGAGGCGGATCTCAGGTACATGAGGGCACAGCTGAAAGTTAAAAACAGATGAGTCACGGAGTTGTTAGGAAATGCTTTAGCTTCAGAGTGGTCAGGAAGTGGAACAAGCTAGACAACAAAGTGATAGAAGTAAGATATTTAGCTGTAAGAATAGGAATGATAAGGCTCACTAAACCTGAAGAGCGAACCTAGATTAGCGGCCGGTTTGAGAGGCTTAGGCTCGAACCCCTTCAACTGCAAAAAAAGGCGAGTACAAGTTCAAGACAAGAGGCCAGACATCAGTGATACAGATCAAAGTATTGCAGGATTGCAAGTGTGTAAGTGCATATCACACTAATCACTTGAATACAGAATCTTTCAAAACTTTATACACAACGTAAGGTAGCAACCGAGTACTTGGCCCCAGTGTGGAGGCACCATCATCTATGGTCAGGTCCGAGTGAATGCTCTAACCTCACAGTCCAACCCAAGGCCAGATTTCTTTGTTGACCGCTTGACTGACCAGACTGTCGCTGTCAGCGGCTTGCAGGGTTACACAGCCTGAATCTATACAGGGACTGAAGGTTCCATGTATAAATTATCAGGCATATTTCTCCACCATAGAGTGTGTTTTGCGGTGTTGCCAGTAGTTAAGATATTTTAGCTACACTATACGAGCAACATAGCACCTCGTATATATTTACCAGCTCTGCTATCTCTCCTGCTGCAAAAGATGCTGCGAGCACAATAATATTCCAGATATGAGAACATATGTGATTTGATTAGTGCCATCACTGGCGTGATTTGTTTTTTAAAGTTCTTATGATCACTTGTGAGATGTAGGGGGCATCGTTGTGTTGATGTAGGGGGCGTCGTTGTGTTGATGTAGGGGGCATCGTTGTGTTGATGTAGGGGGCGTCGTTGTGTTGATGTAGGGGGCGTCGTTGTGTTGATGTACGGGGCATCGTTGTGTTGATGTAGGGGGGCGTCATTGTGTTGATGTAGAGGCGTCGTTGTGTTGATGTAGGGGGGCGTCATTGTGCTGATGTAGGGGCGTCGTTGTGCGATGTAGGGGCTGTCGTTACGGGAATGGAGGGGTCGTCGCGGTCTGACTGTTTTCCACAATATGGTGACTAGCCGGTATATTCATCCACCTCCACACACTTCTCATTTCTTCACAGATCACGCAAGACACACATAATAGCACGACACGACAGTTCTCACGCAAGCACACGCACGCACACACACACACACACACACACACACACACACACACACACACACACACACACACACACACACACACACACACACTGAGTGTTGCAGCAACTAACACACAAAAAACTCTTGCCTAACAAGTGGACACGTGAAAGAGCAAGAAGAATACAACCATAAATTTAGCTGCAAGTTAATAATTCTTTTAATAATTTGTGTAATGCAGGAATAACTATGTCTAATAATAATATAAGAAATAAAATGCAGTAGAGGACCTGTGGGATGCGTCTTGTGCATGGTACAAAGGTACGAGGATAACACAGCATCACGCTACAGGTCAAATCCAGCAGCTAATCTTGATGGAGATCAAAAGTACAAAATACAGACACGATGGAGAAATAGACACAAATTTGTTTGTGCCTTGATAAAGGCCACTGTATGGGCGAAACGCAGTCAATAAAGGTTCGCATTAGACTGCATTTGTGTCTATTTTTCAAGATAACCTTGATTATGAGGAGATTAATCCAGTGAAGGTAGCAAGGGGTGAGGTGGAAAGATGCTGACACAGGATGTACACATGGAGGTATTTTTTTTATTATAAATTGCTGATTAAAGTTAATATGACAGATTTCCTGCCTGGTATCAGGAGATGTGTTATAAGCCGGAAGGATGAAATTAGTGATTAAAACAAAGTTGAAAGTGAGGAACAGCACGAGATATGAATGGTGAAAGGCAGGTAAGTGGAAGTGTTGGAATGGTTGGTGCCAGTGTTGGAATGGTTGGTGCCAGTCTTGTGTATGAAAGAAGACAAAAGAGGACAAGAAAGAAGACCTACAGATTTTTTTATTCGGACTGTTAACCCCAAATGGTTAATCACCCAGAATAACCCGAAAAAGACATAGAATATAGGTTATTTCCACTGAGGTCATTAGGTCCTCACCCCTGGAACTCGACAATAAACAGTAAACCGACTCGCAGATGTCTGTTTATCGTGTTTGTTTATCTCCAGATTGTTTATCTGTCAGGGAACATCAAGTACCGCGGGTGTTAATCACAAAATGACTAGTGTAGTTACTTACCTGGAATATAGGTGATATCCTCCACATATCGACGACCCCGGCACCCAGGTACTGCCCCACAGTCACGTGGAAGGTCATGAGAGGCAGTCCCAGCACAGCAGACACCACCAACCATTGCACCACAAATGGCCCTGCAAGTTGTGGTCACCATGTTAGTGCTAGCAACACGTCTTCCACTATAAACAAATAACCTGCACATAGGAGAATGAAGCTTATGACCACCTTTTGGTCCGACTTGGACTTGTGACTCGTTAAAATGGGCCAAGTCGGACCGAAACGTCGTTAAAAGTTTCATTCTCTTATGTGCAAGCTATTTGTGTATTGTTCCAGTCACCGTATTGTGCCCTTTTATTCTTCATCTTGAATATTCCAATAGTTGACTGAACGTCTCTAATATCAGGACTGAAGTTATGCAGTGGCACTGATAACAAGAATAACTCTGATGTTATGTTATTAGTTACAAGAATGACAGTGATGTCAGGATTGCTATAAGAATGGCAGTGATGTCAAGATTGTTAGTTATAAGAATGACAGTGATGTCTGGATTGTTATAAGAACGGCAGTGATCTCAGGATTGTTGTAAGAACGGCAGTGATGTCAGGATTATTAGTTATAAGAACAGCAGTGATGTTTGGATTGTTATAAGAACGGCAGTGATGTCAGGACTGTTAGTTACAAGAACGGCAGTGATGTCTGGATTGTTATAAGAACGGCAGTGATGTCAGGATTGTTATAATACGGCAGTGATGTCAGGATTGTTATAAGAACGGCAGTGATGTCAGGATTGTTGTAAGAAAGGCAGTGATGTCAGGATTGTTATAAGAACGGCAGTGATGTCAGGGCTGTTATAAGAACGGCAGTGATGTCATGATTGTTAGCTAAAATAACTACAGTGATGTCAGGATTATTATAAAAACGACAGTGATGTTAGGATTATTATAAAAACGGCTGTGATGTCAAAACTGTTAGTTATAAAAACGTCAGTGATGTCAGGATTGTTAGATACAGAACGGTAGTGATGTCAGGATTATTGTTTACAAAACTATCAGGTCTTGTGTCAATGCTTCCATAGCAGCAACAACTTTTAGTGACGTCCTTAAAACCCTAGGAAAGTCAAAATATCCAAAATATCTCATCAAACTTTATTCACCCTCTAAAACATTTATTATTGAAAATACCATCCAAAATTATTTGAAAATACTGAAGACTGAGAGCTATAGAAAACAGTGAAAGCAGTAAGACTAGACGTAGACGAGTACTTACATCCAAACCTGGCACCAAGGACGGCGAATCTGGAGATGTTGAAAGTAGTGACAGTGACAGCCAGGGAGGCCATCAGTCCAGAGTGTGTGTGTGTCCACGTGCCTCCCTGGACTCTTACACGCTCAGCTTCCAGACCAGACCCTGGCGCACGTCACCAACACCAGGGAGGGAAGAATGGTGGTAAAATTTGATGCACAAATGGACAAATATGCGATGCAGGGAAAAATAAAATACGTAACAAAAAGCAGTCCCTGAAATATAGTGTCAATTAGGGATTGATAATGGGATTAATTAGAGTAATTATGAACAAGATGTGAATGGAGACTGAAGGAGGAAATAAGGGCAGCATATGAAGAATAAAACCACATATTATATAAAGATACTTTTAACACATTACTTCGTGGAGACGGCCGAGAAAACTTAACATTTACTGGGAGAAAAACTAAGTATAACATAAATTCGATAAAAAAAAAGTCCATCACTGACATGAAAATGAGAGAGAGAGAGAGAGAGAGAGAGAGAGAGAGAGAGAGAGAGAGAGAGAGAGAGAGAGAGAGGAAGCAAGGGTATGAGAGGAGAGGGTCAAAAGACTCCATTTTTCCTGGAGAAACCCCCGAGAGGAGAGGAGCGCTGGATAATAACAAAGACACATGACCCTCCTTCCCTCACCTCATTCAAAATATTTTTCCTATGACTCCCTTCCCTTCCCCTTGTTTATTTCCACATGAGACAGGCATGACACAAGGACCTGTCTCATTTCGCCCACAAATAATCTTCAGAAAGTAGGCCCTCCACTCCAAACTTATTCTGTTACCACGTCAATTCCTCATTGGCTACGTCCCTCCTCCTCTGACCTTCAGCAAGACCACTCCATGCCGCCATTTTTACTACATATCGTCCTGCACTTCCTTCCTACAGTCTCCTTCCCTTAACACCTTCGCCTGCACCTCTTCCATCACGTTCACCCTTAACAAGCACAGCTCAGTGATTATTTCCGTGAATATAATATTTTTAAATTTTTATTCCTGCCCTCACCCCTTTTACTCCATAATCCTATTCCTTCTAGTTAGACCTCTTTCTTCTCCAGACATATTCCCTTCTTCAGTTCCCCACCAAATGGGAATCTCTGGCTCTTCATTCTTTCTCGTTTTCATTATTCTTCCCATCCTTCCCTGAGTCACGATTAATATCACTACCTTCCCCCGCCTCTCTCACTCCTCTACCGCCTTTTCTTATCCTTCCTCACCCCATCTTTCCTCAACCACTAGCTCCCTTTACCATCCTCTCTCATTCCCCATAACCCCCTTTCTCATACTCCCTCATCTCCTACCTCCCTTACAACGACCCTCACCACGTCTACTGACTCCCAATCGAGCCCCTCCCTCGTCACATCCTCCTACAGTACTCCCACAAAAATATCCTTTCAAATCTCTTATTGAACATACATTAAACGCGTCCCAAGATATTCCTCCTCTTTCCTTTCCCCTATGGTCCTCGTACAATTATTAAGGCCTCCTCATTTTACATACATTCAACTAAAACCTCTCCCACCCCCTCTTTTACCTCTCTCTCCATACACTCACAGCATATTCTTGTGAACGTATTAATAACATCAGTCTGAAATATCACAGGTCAATGTATCACACACCAAGCCTTCTATATTTTACTGATTTTTTTTACCTCTGGTGTTGTGATTTACTGAGTGTGATTATTATTGTGTGAGATGGATGACAGGAGGAAGACATCCCCCACAAGAATAATCACACTCATTGACGCACGAAACTTGAGGTAATGAAAATAATGTTAAGAGATAAAGGCTCTTTGTGTGGTGCATTGATTTGTGATATTTCAGACTGACATTGTCAATATATTCACAAGAATGTGCTATCCCCAATGGGCCACATGGGTAAACTAACATGAGTTTCACTGAGACATCGTTGCTGATGGTTTGAAGGTGATTGTAGTTCGACAGGCGTTTATATGTCGAGGATAAGCTATGAACAAACAATGATATCAGGATTCATATATAAGCAGACAGGCTGAGTTTGACAGATAAACAGAAACAGACATAAATGGTAGATCAACACACATACTAACAGGCAACAGGCCAAATGTCCTTGTGACAAGTGCCTTGGACAAATGGTAACACACACACACACACACACACACACACACACACACACACACACACACACACACACACACACACAGAGGGATGTTAGGAAGTATTTCTTCAGTCATAGAGTCGTCAGGAAGTGGAATAGCCTAGTAAGTGATGTAGTGGAGGCAGGAACCATACATAGCTTTAAGACGAGGTATGACAAAGCTCAGGGAGCAGAGAGAAAGAGGACCTAGTAGCGATCAGTGAAGAGGTGGGGCCAGGAGCTGAGTCTCGACCCCTGCAACCACAATTAGGTGAGTACAATTACGTGAGTACACACACAGCTTGGGGAGTGTTCTGCTCTGTGGTCTGGAACAATCACATTGTTCAAGTTGTTCCAGACTGTGAAGCGGAACTCTTCTCCCGGCTGAGGGACTGACCACCTCGGGACTGCGTCTTCGGGGGTGATGGCCTGATTGCATCGTCTTCTATCTCCACTGCTTTTGCTGCCTCTTCTGATTTGGCTGGGGGAAAGGGGTGCCTGCTGCCTACTCGGGGCGTTTCAGGGTGGGGATGCCTATATGCTGCACATGTCTTATCAACTTGTAGGTACTGTATGCCATTAATGTGTTCACATGCATCCCGCCACACAAAATACACACACACACACACACACACCTGAGGTATGGAAGACAGCAAATGAGTGCCAATTTTTAAAAAAAGAGACAGACAGGAAGCATTGAACTACAGACCAGTGTCACTGACATATATAGTTTGCAAAGTCATGTAACAGATTATCAGGAGGAGAGTAGTGGAGGACCTAGAAAGGAATGAGCTTCTCAATGACAGCCAGCATGGTTTCAGGGACGGGAAATCCTGTGTCACAAGCCTACAGGAGTTCTATGACAGGGTGACAACAGTAAGACAAGAGAGAGAGAGAGAGAGGTGGGTAGATTGCATTTTCTTGGACTGTAAGAAGGCGTTTGATAGTCCCGCACAAGAAATTAGTGCAAAAGCTGGAGGACCAGACAGGGATAACAGCAATGGATCAGGAAATACCTGTCAGGAAGACAACAGCGAGTCATGGTACGTGGCGAGGTGGCAGAGTGGGCGCCTATGACGAGCGGGGTTCCACAGGGATCAGTCCTAGGACCGGTGCTGTTCCTGGTATTTGTGAATGACATGACGAAGGAACAGATTCAGAGGTGTCCCTGTTTTGCAGATAATGTGAAGTTGACGAGAAGAATTCAGTCGGACGAGGACCAGGCAGAACTACAAAGGGATCTGGACATGCTGCAGGTCTGGTCCAGAAACTGGCTCCTGGAGTTCAACCCCACCAAGTGCAAAGTCATGAAGACTAGGGAAGGGCAAAGAAGACCGCAGACGGAGTACAGTCTAGGGGGCCAGAGACTACAAACCTCATTCATGGAAAAGGATCTTGGGATGAGTATAACACCGGGCACATCTGAGGCGCACATCAACCAAATAACTGCTGCAGCATATGGGCGCCTAGCAAACCTAAGAACAGCATTCCGACATCTTAATAAGGAATCATTCGGGACACCGTGCACCTTAGGTCTATATTGGAGTATGCAGCACCACTTTGGAACGCACACCTTGCCAAGCACGTAAGGCAACTAGAGAAAGTGCAAAGGTTTTCAACAAGACTAGTCCCGGAGCTAAGGGGCATGTCCTACGAGGAGAGGTTAAGGGAAATCGACTTGACGACATTGGAGGACAGAAGAGATAGGGGGGATATGATAACGACATATAAAATACTGAGATGAATCGACAAGGTGGACAGACAGGATGTTCCAGAGATGGGACACAGCAACAAGGGGTCACAGTTGGAAGCTTAAGACTCAGATGAATCACAGGGATGTTAGGAAGTATTTCTTCAGTCACAGAGTTGTCAGGAAGTGGAACAGTCTGGGAAGTGATGTAATGGAGGCAGGATCCATACATAACTAAGTAGAAGTATGATAAAGCTCATGGAGCAGAAAGAGTGGCGTAGTAGCGACCAGTGAATAGGCGGGGTCAGGAGCTATGCCTCGACCCGTGCAACCACAATTAGGTGAGTACACACACACATTCGTGCCAGGTTACAGGAGCTGGGAGAGTGAAAAAGGAGTGATGTATGAGTTATGAGTCAAGTGTCCCTGGGGAAGGTCCCGCTCACTGTTGTCATCATCCTCACGCACCAACATCACATGTAGAAACACGTGACTTGTGCCTTTAATTAAAATAATACCCAGCTTACTTATTTACATTTAAAGCCTATCAACTGTACTTGGCTGCTTAACACCTGCATAAAAACAATAAAAATTACTAGTGTATATACGCCGAAAGACACTCCTCTGGGTGTATATACACAACCTGTGGTAATATAGGAAAGCAATATTAATAGTTGAACTCCCATCAGCGACTTATATCAGTAATTTACAACTTGTGGCTTGCTACAGTGTTTTTTTTTTTCTATAATTTCATCGGCTTGTCCTGTACAAGAAAACCAGGAAGAACACAGTCCCGGAACAGATTAATAATGAACATCTATGTGACCTCTGGTAAGCCACCGCAGTGGCTAGTTTATTGTTTAAGTTTATATTGGTACAGGTATACATAAATACAGTTACACAAATCAGCATATTAACATGTGTAAATTATCTAGGATAACCCCAAAAAGTCAGATAAAATGACATTTTCATTGTGAACTCCATATCTATCCTGTGGATGGCAGCACCAGAGCATATGGAATTGTAACATTTGTAACACTAATGGAAAAGCTAATAATGCACAAGCACATGCATAATAACAAACTAGAAAACTGTCAACAGGAAAACAGAGGAGGGAAGAGAGAGAGGTGAAACAGAGGTGATAATGGATAAAAACCACCCACCCGCGAAGGCGTCCCTCCTTGGACTCTGTCTCTCACTTCTGCTTCTACCTCTGTTGCCTCGTCCACCCCTGTTGCTGTTCCCTTCATTGTTGCTTCTGCTTCTTCTCTCACTGGTGGCGCTGTTTCTGTTGTTTACCTCGCTGGTGGCGCTGTTTCTGCTGCTTACCTCGCTGGTGGCGCTGTTTCTGCTGCTTACCTCGCTGGTGGCACTGTTTCTGTTGTTGACTTCGTTGAGATTATTTACAGGGTTTGCTTCGCTAGTCACACTATTTCTGTTCAAAATTTCTTCCCTGGCGATGCTACTTCTGTTGCTTCCATCGCTGGCAGCGTCGTTTCTGTTACCCCCGTTATTAATATTTCCGTCACTAGCGACACTGTTTCTGTTGCTTTCGTCACTGGTGATGTTTCTGGTGCTTAAGTCACTGATAATACTGGTTCTGTTGCTTCCGTCAGTGAGAGTGCTGTTCCTGTTGCTCTCATCACTAACTGTACTGCTTCTGCTGTTTGCTTCGTTGCTGTTGCTACCTATATGGTGTCCTTCGCTGCTGTATATATTAGTATCAGTGATGTTTCTGCTGTTGAAATCTGTGTTGCTGCCGAAAGTGTTACTGGTTGTGTTGTGTAGCTGTGCGATACTGCTGCTGCTGCTGTTTCTCCGGCTTATGTTACTAGCTGCTTGTAGTTCTGGGGCAAGGCTAGCCACATTATTGTTACTAATATTACTGTTGTTGTTGGTATCGCTTGGGACGTGATCAGATCTGTGGTGGTTTCTTCTCCTCTCAGTGGCACCAGTCGACGTCTCGCTGGCAAATCCTTCTGGCGAGACACTCTGGAGACTCGTGCTGGGGAGATGACTGTGGGAGGCGAACAAGGGCCGAGGAATAACTGCTGCAGACTCCCAGGGCCTTCCTCTCTCCAGGCTAGACGGGGCGCTGGGGACGTACAGATCGGAGTCGAGGCTCCTGGGGCCGCTGGGGAGATAGCCGCCCACCTCCACCTCCAGACTCAGGGGCGCCGTGGGGAAGGCAGGCTCCATCGGGGGATGGAGGCGCCCCATGGAGGCTCCCCGCCGGTGTCTGGACCGCTGCTGTCTACCCCAAATACCTTCAGGCGCCGTTGTATCCTCAGGATTACTGCCAACACAAGAAGGGCAAACATATGTTAGTATAATTCAGTTTACAAATACGTCCGTAAGCACATAATAACATACCTCAGGTTACAAACACCTCCAAAAACACATAATAGGATACTTCAGTTAACAAATACCTCCGAAGCAGACCGGAACTGCACATCATCAGTTCTTCACGAGAGTATAGCTTTAATTTACAACGAGGTGTACACAAGTATTTTATAGTGTAACCAAACTTAACATTAACTTAAACTACCAACTATCAACATCTTACTGACAACCAGTATCTTAAACTAACAGTATGTTAATGACTTTCAGCATCTTAGCCTATGACATAAGAGCTGTCAACATAACTGGCTTCATCTACTTGCTTCAGCACCACAGTACCATAGTTTCCACTCCTTTCTGTTACTGGTTAATCTTGTCGCTGTTTTCCTGACTACGTACATCGACAAATTTAATGTATTTATCATGGCAGCAACATACACATCAGTGACGCAATTTTCGAGTTAATTTATTTACGTTCGCTGGCTACTATGTGACCAACAATATGGTTACATACAGTGACTCTCTGTAGCTCAACTCTTGAACTTCTTCAGCTAAACTTCTTCAACCAGCAGGGAGGAGAAATATTACCAGAGCAAATATAAACATTTTCAAGGAAAAACTGGACCACTTCACCTAGCAACAAGTGTCAGATCAGTCAGCCGGGATGGCTAGGTAGGCCTACCGACTGCTGACAGGCACTCATCAGGGAAGTTTGGTTGCAGGCGAGCCTGCAAGGATAGAAAAACCCTCAGCACCGGTCACAGGTATATGGCAAAATTCACTGCATGAATGAAATATCAATTTTATTTCTCGTATAGTACTACAGTCTCTCGCAAATTCCTGCCTCTGGAAGTTGAAAGTGTCAACAACGCATCCTTTTAAAAGAAGATTCAACAAACACCACCACAAGGGAGATTACCAATAGACCCCTGTGGCTGTCTTCAAGAGGGAGCTAGACAGATGCCTAAAGTCAGTACCTGATCAGCCGTCTGTGGTTCGTACGTTGGATTGCGTGCGGCCAGCAGTAACAGCCTGGTTGATCAGGTCCTGATCCACCGGGAGGCCTGGTCGAGGACCGGACCGACGTGTTTGAGAAAGTAAGCTGACCAAATAAATAAAATATCAGGCTAACACATGCTTCCCTCTAACGCAGGGGTGGGCAAAATGTGGCCCGTGGGCCATATCCGGTCCCTCACCATGTCCATCAATTTAGGAAAATTAGTAATGTCTTTAGTTAAAGAAATAATTCATTTTTATTTTATTGTGTCCTTATCAGGAGCGCGTACTGGGCAACAAAACCTGGCAATGATCGACACAAATATAAGCAGACGTGTGTAACCTTCACCTGTTATCTTATACGTTAAGGAGATGTTAAGAAAAGAGCAGAAATCCTGCCAGGATTGCAAAACGTTTAAAAGGCTTCAGTTTCACACTTGTATGGCAGGACGGTAATATATATAGATTAGTTATGTATTTAGGTTAATTGCCGGGGTGAGTGCTTCTCAGCGGCATCTGTGTTCCAGCGCACGTACCTTCAAATGCCTGCCTGGGAGCCCCACATTTCTCTATGTTCTCATTCTTCTCCTGGTTTTACTGTTTACTTCTGGCCCAGGAGTGTACGGATCTGGTTACCTGGAGGTTACCTGGAGGTTATTCCGGGGATCAACGCCCCCGCGGCCCGGTCCATGACCAGGCCTCCCGATGGATCAGGGCCTGATCAACTAGGCTGTTACTGCTGGCCGCACTTCACTTACTATCTCCCACCTGACAACTGTAATTACCTGGTCTTGCGTGAGCTTTCTTTATTACTTTAGCCCCTCACACACACATGTATATCCGGGGAATGGCCCTGAAAAGAGTATAGGAACTGAGAGCAGAGAATGGCATGTTTTTTAAGATATGAAAAAAATTATATGGACTTTCTACAGCTGAATTATGTGAATCGCCGTTCCGACTTTGTTTTTCATTGATATCATTAACCACCGAACTCGATTTAAAAGGGATCTTTTACACGTGTTTTGGATTACACTATCGAAGCATTTATGGTAAAATCGCTTCTTCAGGTAGACAACAAGCAGTTAGCCCAATTTTTAAACCTTTTTCCTGATCACTGTACTGAAAATCTTAAATAGAATTCTTCGTTGCTATTACACTTTACGTAAAAGGAAATAAGTGCAACTAGTGCGACAATAAAATGTGCGATTAGTTGCACTTGTGTCCTTCTACCTAACATATTGTTGGTAATTCTACCAACATTAATGCAGTCAGACATTCTCGTTGATCCAGGATTTCAAAATGACCAAAGACATGAATTTGGGCGATTATTAAACATACTGTTTTACATCGATTAAAATGTGTGGCCCGGGAAGCATGTTCTAGGCATATTCCCCTAAGAAAGAAGAAGAGCAGGAGTAAACTGGAGAAAGACGCTCCCTCTACAGAAGACGACGAAGAGTCACTGAGCTCCTCAGGAGTGCTAGAATATCGGATACAAGAAAGGAGGCGCTGACCAGGGAAGTGGAAACTACCGAACTTAAGTTAAATGACTCTTACAGGAACCAGGAGAGACAGGAGGAGCTTAAAGCTATTAGTGAAATTGAAAGAAATTCAAAATATTTCTTTTCACATGCCAAAAACAAGGCAAATACCACATCTAGTATCGGGCCCTTACTCAGACAGGATGGGACTTACACAGATGACAACACGGAAATGAGTGAAATATTGAAATCCCAGTGCGACTGTGTTTAGTGAACCACTAATCAGTCTGAGGATCGACGACCCAAATGATTTCTTCATGAATGACCCTCAAAACTCCATAAATGTATGCCAGATTTCCGACATTACCCTAACTCCGATAGATTTCGAAAAAGGCATTGACAACATGCCCATGCACTCAGCCCCGGGCCCAGACTCGTGGAACTCTGTTTTCATTAAGAACTGCAAGAAACCCCTCTCGCGTGCCCTAAGTACACTATGGAGGAGGAGCTTGGACATGGGTGAAATTCCACAGCCACTTAAAACAACGGATATAGCCCCACTCCATAAAGGTGGCAGCAAAGCATTAGCTAAGAACTATAGACCAATAGCTCTGACGTCCCACATCATAAAAATCTTTGAAAGAGTGCTAAGAAGCAGGATTGCAAATCACCTGGATTCCCAAAATCTGCACAATCCAGGGCAACATGGGTTCAGGGCAGGTCGCTCCTGCCTCTCACAACCACTGGATTACTATGATATGGCCTTGGATGCACTGGAAGAATATCAGAATGCAGATGTAATATACACAGACTTTGCAAAAGCATTTGACAAATGCGATCATGGCGTAATAGCCCAGAAAATACGTGCTAAAGGAATAACTGGGAAAGTGGGGAGATGGATCTTCAACTTCCTAACAAATCGAACACAAAGAGTAGTGGTCAACAGAGTTAAATCGGAGGCTGCCATAGTGAAGAGCTCTGTTCCACATGGTACAGTACTCGCCCCCATCTTATTCCTCATCCTCATATCAGACATAGACAGAGATATACACCACAGCACCGTATCATCCTTTGCGGATGATACTAGGATCTGCATGAGGCTGTCATCTGCTGAGGACGCGGTTAACCTCCAAGAAGATATAAACAAAGTTTTCCAGTGGGCAACGGTAAACAATATGATGTTCAATGAGGACAAATTCCAACTACTCCGTTATGGAAAACTGGAGGAGATAATAACTAGAACAGAGTATACTACTGACTCCGGCCATACAATAGAGCGGAAAAATAATGTAAGGGACCTGGGAGTAGTAATGTCTGAGGATCTCACTTTCAAGGATCACAACAGTGTCACGATCGCAAGTGCAAAGAAAATGATAGGATGGATAATGAGAACTTTCAAAACGAGAGATGCCAAGCCCATGATGATCCTTTTAAAATCATTTGTTTTCTCTAGGCTGGAATACTGCTGTACATTAACATCTCCATTCAAAGCAGGTGAAATTGCAGATCTAGAAGTGTAAAGAGATCATTTACTGCACGTATAAGTTCTGTCAAGCACCTTAACTACTGGGAACGCTTGGAAGCACTTGACTTGTACTCGTTGGAACGCAGGAGGGAGAGATATATCATAATCTACACTTGGAAAATCTTGGAAGGAATGGTCCCAAATCTGCACACAGAAATCACTCCCTACGAAAGTAAAAGACTGGGCAGGCAATGCAAAATGCCCCCAATTAAAAGTAGGGGCGCCATTGGTACACTAAGGGAAAACACCATAAGTGTCCGGGGCCCAAGACTGTTCAACAGCCTCCCATCAAGCATTAGGGGAATTGCCAATAAACCCCTGGCTGCCTTCAAGAGAGAGCTGGACAGATACCTAAAGTCAGTGCCGGATCAGCCGGGCTGTGGCTCGTACGTTGGACTGCGTGCGGCCAGCAGTAACAGCCTGGTTGATCAGGCCCTGATCCACCGGGAGGCCTGGTCATGGACCGGGCCGCGGGGGCGTTGATCCCCGGAATAACCTCCAGACAACCAGGTATCATCACAGCTGGCTAATCTGATGTGGACCGCTAGTAAATTGCCAACTTCTGATCTACCACCATCCTTATTGTTCCCTCTTAAGATGTACGTGTCGTAGAAGGCAGCTAATGTGTCAAGGAAAAGGTCTAGTTATCCCTTCCACTGTAATTAACCGGCGAGAATCGCCCGAGTGCAACAATACAATTGCTAGCTAGAAAAAACTACTGAAGTGAACTGAGGCAGACTCACTCTTACCTTGTAAAAAAAAATGCAGGACCTCTCATGCCTAACACTTTAGAGGCAATATGAGGAAGGGAAGGAGGTAGGCGGGTTGCAAAAGCAAGACTCGAGGAAACTATAAACAAAATGAGGGCGAGTGATAGACGCCAGACGAGGGAAGAGGTCGACTAGCCACTCTTGTACGTGATCTTAGATGACTCCTGATAACCCCGCTACACCC